GTGGTAGGATATCAGGGTGCTGGGCATTTGCTAGAAAGCTGTTTGGGGATTGCCTTCATCCTCTTCCTGCCAGTCCTCATCTATGCACATGCAAGCAAAAAATTGCATCCATAAMACAGTTTTATCCTGATTTATGAATGGAATGASGCATKGGCAGTGTGGCACTTTTCACCTGAMTAGTCACTCAAAAAATCAGTCRCTTTCAATAAAACTTGGCTGAAAGGCAAAGATCTAAAGGTRTTGCATCACCAACAGGTTTTGGGAAAATAAACAGTAGGACAGAGAGTGTGCTCCTGGATCCAGAGAAGGAAGGACTGTGGTGCAGCCTCAGCCACCACCGGGGACAGGAGGCACGAGCACCTGACAGAGTGTCCAGCCACAGCTCACACTGTGCTCTGCACAAGTTCCTCCATCCTTGGTTCTGTTTCTGTAAATCAGCAAAGCTCCTGGTGCYCATGGGGACAGAAATGTGGGCTTAGGGGGGAGAAGGGGTTCAGGAGCTCACCCTCCTGCCTGGATCCCTGCGTGCTGGGACAGAGCTGCATGCACATGGCAGCTTCTCTCCAGTTCAGGGAAGCCAATCAGATTTCTTTGCTTCTGTCCAGAAAACTCACAAATTAGAAGTTTAGAACTCCAACTCAGATTTTATCTGCAAAAAATCAGTCATAAGCTCAGGGTTTCCTTTTCTTCTAGCAAAGCATTTTTCTCCAACATCTTTAACTAATGCATGCAAGCATAACTATTTTTGTTATTGTTATTATTCTGAYCTTGCAAAAACTCAAGACTAAAATCTCTGCTCAACCAGCTTTATTTCTTTTTGTGGCTCTCTGGTCTGTGAAATTGAAGGGTTGCTCTAGGACCCAATACTGCTGGAATTTATCTGTTTAGAGAGAAGTGTCGTTTGATCTATGCTTTGAAGAACAAAGCAGAACACACAAAAAAATTGCACGGACTGTGCAAAGAGATTATAAAGGAGAAAATAGGACAAAACAATGTAGGTCAAATTTGGGACATAATMCAGCATTGTAAATTTGTGCTTATAGGCACAAATGTTTCATCTTTAAAACCCATTAAATGTCTTCACCTCACAAATGCCGACACACACAGGGCTCCTTTCACAGGAAAGAGTCCCCTTGGAGCAGTGTGACTGTGCACAAAGTTAAAGCATGGGGTGAGAMACTGCGAATTCACCATTCAGGGGCACAAACCCTTACGTTTCTAATTAAATTAACTCATTTATACCTGTGGGAAAATCCCAGCCCAGTATCACAGAGTGCACTGCACAAGCCAATACAATAACATTCATAACAACTGATGCGTTAACTGGGATTCAAATAGAATCATTTAAGCATTAATAACATTTCCATCTCTGGAGATCAAGCCTTTTCACTTCCATGCATKCTGACATCCTTTAGCAACTGACCATATTCCTGACAGAAATCTAAGTAAAGCCAACACACCAAGCACTTGTTTGCATAAATACAAATGGAACCTGGGGRTAAAATGGGTGCCACAGAACTGTGAGAGTCTAGCACAAGGAAAATAATATTAWCATTTCATAGATATAGATCTTAACAGTAGATACATATTCCTAACTATTATATGAAATGAAATAATTAGTGAGAGACAATGATGCTCCCAGGCCAGTAYACAACCACCTTCTACAGAAGTTTTAGGAGGGAAGATAAAGAATCTGTCTAGATGTGAGGCACATCCTCAGGAGATCACCTACCAAACCCCAAAACAGTTACTTGTGCTCAGAAACAAGAATTCCTTAATTTCATGTATCTCAAAGCAAGTCAGGTAAACTAAAGGTCAGGGATAGCAAGYGTGCTGACTTACTCCTGGCCTACAGATATGCACAATGTTCAGTTTGGTTTGTTTGTTTTTTTTTTTGGGGGGGGAGGGGTTTGTTGTTTGGTTTGCTGCAGCTATTTTAATGGGAATTTTTGTTTACTTCTTTGAGATATTTTTAGAGAAGTTAAGCCRTATCTATGATTTCAATAAAAATAACATTTAAGTTAAAATACAGCTATTGCTGAGAACAGATTAACAAGTGATTTGTGCTTTTCTTATTCTGCATGTTGCCTTTCCTATAGGGCCGTATATCAGAACCCTAAATGTACAACTGCGATTTCAGTAGACTAGCTCAGAAAAAAAGAGCTGTCCCTAACACTGCTGTCTGTGAAAAGCACAGCAGAGGGTCATTTGAACATTGATTCATTTCAACACACGCAGGAGGAGATGTGTGGATGCACGTACAAGACAATTCACAACAGCGTACCTGTGAGCTGCAAAGCAACACTTCTGAGTGGGTTGGAAGGAGACAGATGCTTCTGCCTGCAATGAAAAAAAACACTCTTAATATTATAAAAATGTRTACAAAAGAAACCAGGGACCAAATGGTACTTGAAAGATAAGCAGGATGTTTTGAAGAGTGGCTCAAAGCATGTAAGAGTCTAAATTCCCTATCTTCCAAAAGACCTTGTGGGTGGGGAGAAACTACCATGACCTAATTCCTCATTTCCAGACGAATTTTTTTCTTTTTCCCYGGTAGAAGCACTGCAGAGTACAGCATTTCAGGAGGACTGTGTTTTACAGAGATTTCTAGAAAACAAATCATCTGTGYGACTCCACATAGCAAGCAGAGAAAATAATGCAGCTGCTGGCTCATGACAAGTGAAAAAATCTTCTGTAGCTACTAGCACCATGTGTCATCCAGGGTTATTTTACAGACCTACTACAGTTCTGGCTGTGCCAGAATAAGGAGGAGTGGGTGCAAAGGGGAAAGTAGGATCACTTCTTTCAAAAGATTTAATTACAATTATAGATTGGGATAAAAAACAGAATTTCCCTGCCGGATTCTTTTTAACATTTCCGTAGATTTTCATTTTTTTGGTGCTAATCTTGCAAGCAGCCATTGCTTTGGACAAGACCAAAGGCTGATCCTGCCCTGAATCTGTTTGGTYAGTAGCCAATAGCCAGAACCAGAAGGAAAGAATGTAAGAAATATGAAAAACTTAAAACGACCCTTTTTCCATCATCTTCCAATAACCAGTAGTTTAGAATCTCCCTGCAGAGTTCACTAAAACTGTGAAAGAATCACATCAGAAGTATTGCTCCTATAACTGCTACTTGGAAGAGAGTTAYAAGTGAAAAAAAATACATCAATATATACAAAATAAAGATCTGATCAGAAAAAGGCACCATCATGTAGCTGCAGTAATTATTGCAGTTCAAATACATGCACAAGCTGCCATATGCACAAAGATGTATTTCACCAGTCTCCAGGAATTATGAAAAAAAAGAAAAAGCTTGCAAAGAAAAACCTAAACAGAGGTAAAAGCAGTCATGGCAAAGCAGCCCCAAAGTAGTGGAAGGGTCATATTGTAGAGGCACTCAAGCTTTAGCAATCTGGCTGCTGTCCCAGAGGAACTCATCACCCACAGCACCTAGGTCAAACTGACAGCACAGATATTAGGGAAACTTCTCTCCCACGCACACAGCTATTTAACAATGATCAGTCTAGCTGCTTATCCAGAAAGRTTCAAAAGATCTATCGTGTAAAATAAAACCTCATTGTTCCCAGCTTTTAATAATAGTTCTCTGAAAAGCATCTCTAATGATCCTGACCACACAGGCTGTATGGGAGAGCAAATCACAGAGGACAGACCATACATCTTTGCCCTGGGAAAAGCCATGGAGCGTTTCTTCCTGGACCCAGTGATCAACTGGAAAAGCAACTTTGGTTTGGGAGCAGCTGGAGAGAGAAAAAGAGGAGAATATCACAAATGTTTTCAAACCATAATTGCTATGAAGATGTTGTCTTAGAAGTATCTGCTTGCTGCTTACTGCAATAGAACAGCTCTCAAAGGCTCTCAGAYGCAGRAAGACCTCCAGMATCACCAGAAATGTGCAGAACCTCRTMATTATCTAACTTAGTGGGAAGTCTTCCCTTGCCTTCCTCTTCCTCCTAAGAACTGATGTCCTGGGGTTTCTGTGGGTGCTCACCYTAAAGCATTCCCCAGCAGAATGTACATTGACACATATAAATAGGAGCAGGCACGTGCAAAGTCAACTGGTAGTGATATTCTGGAGTATTAGTGAAAAAGGGAACAAGGGAACCCCACAGAACTTGCCTTCACCAACTGCCCTTTGTTATTTTAATTTTTTTTTCTACTCAAGTATAAATAGTGCTTTAATGGTTTCCTTGAGACAAACTGTTCTGATAAATGTTTATGGAGTTAATAAGGAATCCCTGGCTATGTGAGTAGGTAGATGTTTAGACAGTTTGATATTGGAAACATTATACAGCCTGTGCTGCAGCAGTTCGTAGGAAAGTTTGATGCAAGATCAGTTTCCTGTTCCASTCATGTCACATTGCAATTTATAGCAGTAGACCATGAGGTAGCAGCTCCGAGGAATTTCATCCTGCAGGAACAAARGGCATGTCATTGCAAATAGCACCATTCTCCAAGCACCAGCCTGCAAGATTTTTGGGTTTGTTTTCATGGGGGCTTTTGAGATTTTTTTTGTTGTTGTTGTTGTATTTTGGTTTTTTTTTGTTTTTTTTTAATGAGACAACAGAAAGGATAAAAGACTTCAAACCCTACCACTTACTTGTGGCAGAACCCAACCCAGACCAGGAGTCCACTGCATGAGGAGCTGTACAAATAACGAGGTCCTTTACCTTCACAGAAATCACCTTTTCCTGCTTACCTGGATATATCATCTGCATGTGGTTATTTTGCATCCTGAATCCCAAGCTCTGCAGGAGCGATCTGGTGTTTTCTCCACTGCTGCAGATGTTCAAGATCTTCATCCCAGCTCTCATCAGGGCCTGAATCAACCAATACACTGCCTAGTACTGCCAATAAATAGGAATATTTCATTTAAACAACCCCCACTTCTACCCTGGTCCCACAGTAATATGGAAAAACATTTTCCCACATTGTTCAATCACCATTCAAACAGGAAGCAAACCAAGAATTTTACTTTGAAGTAGCATTTTATTTTCTATTAGCTTTGTATACAGAGCTTCAGCCTGGTTCAGACAAACTATGCACTGCAGTAGCTGTAGSACAGGGGTGCTGCACGCTGTGCCTTTGCAATACCCCTTGGGCTGGGTTTGTGAGAACACACAAGAAGCTTCCCTGTGTCTGACAGAGCCAATGCCAGCTGGCTCCAAGGCAGACCCACCCCTGTCCAAACCTGAGTCCATCAGCAACGGTGGCGGTGGCTCTGCGTGTTTAAGACGGACGGAAAAAAAACCTGTGAAACTGCAGTTGAAAAGAGGAGTGAGAATGTGTGAGAGAAACAACTTTGCCAATACCAAGGTGGGCAGGAGGTGCTCCAGGTGCCAGAGCTGATGTTCCCCTGCAGCCTGTGGAGGATCCCATGCTGGAGCAGGGGAATGCCCAAAGGAGGCTGTGACARTGTGGAAAGCCCATGCTGGAGCAGGTTTGCTGGCAGGGCTTGTGACTCCATGGGGGACCCAGGCTGTTGGAGAAGTTTGAGAAYTGTCATCTGTGGAAGGGACCCCAAGACAGAGCAGGGGAAGAGTGTGAGGAAACCTCACCATAGGAGGAAGGAATGGCAACAACTGATGGACTGACCACATTCCCTGTCCCCCTGCACCACTGTGGAATGGAGATAGAGAAAATCAGGACTAGAGCTAAGCACAGGAAAAAGAGAGAGTGGGAGGAAAGTATTAAGGTCYGGGTTTATTTCCCATTATCCTACTCTGATGTGATCGGTAATAACTTAATTTTTCTCCAAGTCTTTAACTGGTGATCAATCTCTCCCTGTCCTTAGCTTGACCCATGAACCTTTTATCATATTTTCTCTCCCCTGTCCAGCTGAGGAGAGGARTGACAGAGCAGCTTTGGTGGGTGCCTGTTCTCCAGCCAGGCCCAGCCCACCACACCACCTCTACAAAGCACCACTTTACACGCTTTTCACAACACCAAAGCAGTGAAGTAGTATTTGCACAAAAAAAATTGCACTATAATAGCAACAAATGTGTAAACGTTTTCAGCATTATTCAAAACCAGCCTGTGCCTTGAATACTGGACCACATCCCTACAGGATAATGCATGTTATGGGARAGCTCTCTGAACAAGCCTTGCTGTGTTGTCAGCTACCCTAAGGGCTGCTGAGAAGTYCCCCAGTGAATTCTGCAAATCCCCCACTCAGCCTTTGAGCCAGATCTGACTCTGCTTTGACCAACACAATCCAGATATCCACAAGCAAGTGGCAGCAAAGGAAGAATTTGTCCAAACCACAGCTGATCTTTATCTTTCAACTTCATGAAATATGTTCTTGGTGTTGGTTGTTGGTGCTGTTCTCTGATAATTCCAAGTGGTCAAAACTTCCAAAACTTTTCAAAGTGATCTCAGGTTGTGGTCACCTCTGCCTTAATACCAGGGATCAGACTTTCTCCAGGAGACAACACAGGTAAATCCTCTTGAAGTTAAAACAGCAGCAGGAAGCTCACTGCTGTGGAAACCAGAGAGCATGAGCCAGGTTTTTTATAGTAGTGAGAAATCTACAATCCCATTTTTAATTTGAAAGTTTGAATTTAAGAAGTTTACCCTGGAGCTCTGTATTGCTGGACCCTCTGTGAGAGCAGAGTCCATGAGTCAGAGCTCCAGCTGTTTGGCTTGTGGCTGCACCAGCGTTAGATTTCATCAGTCCCAATGCTGAAAGCTCTCCATTGCTCGCTGTTTCATGGCTTCTTCCTCAAGTGCCTGCTCCAGTAAGATCTGTTTGCAAATCAGAGGTTAAATGTGGTCCAGACAGGTCCGACAATCAATGCATGCTGTAGTCTTGTAGGGGTTTAAACTGGTTTCAGGGTTTTTTTGCCTGTCAATTAATTTCTATTTTAAGTAGCTTGATTGAACCTGTATATTATGGGTATTTAAACTTCCTTTAAAAGTCCCCTTGTAAGCCAGAGTTTTGGATCTCATTTCTCTCATTGGCATAGCAGGTAAAGAGGAGAGAGCACACCCATTTGATGTTATCTGGGGAAGTAAGAAATGAATATAATGAACACAGCCTCGCTGCTTTTGTTAATCCACCCTCAATGCCTGCCTACACAACAGCAGCCGAGTGTGCACCATTTCCCTGCAGCATTCACCCCACTCTGGAAGAAATTATGGCTTTTGTGCTTTCTGTACTCTGGGATCCTGGCAATCCATGGGCAGACAGACTCACACACGCTGMTGCCAGGTCTGGGTCTCCCATCACAGCCAGGTTTCTGGCATAGCYTTAATAAACAACAAACTACCTACTTTGAGAACAAGATAAGGACGAGGAAGAGAAGAGGTAAGTATGAACAATTTCATGAACTTCATAAACCAAGARAACAGGTCACAATTCTGTCCAACCAAGCCTACAATCCTCCTCAAGGAAGATGGACAGAAACTGTTCAAAGCATAAATACTCAATGCCAAACCTGCACAGTCTGGCAGGTTTATTCTCTCTGTAGGAGCTTAAGGAGGGTGTCACTACGTTGCTTACATTTTGTTTCCACGAACAAGAAGTCTCTGAGAGGTATTTATTCCATTCACACGAAAAAACAATTTCATGTACTTKAAAGACAAAAAGGATGGCAGCACAGAAAGTTTTCTTCATTACAAAGTGTTTTTCCATCAGGCAATTATTTATAAGAACTTTTGTTAACACTGGAGTTGCGGCTCTGGAACAAAGTGGATATATTGTTTACTAGCTTTGCCAGTCAATCTTCTCTTACAAAACCTCTCCCTTCCCCCTCTCCTTTTCCAGCCAAGTCAGTCCCTTGCATAGCTCAGGAGTTTCCTTTGTCACCAAGATCTCCTTTTCCACAAATTGTCCCTTGGATAATGCCATCTTCAATGTAGTGGCCCGAGGTGTCCGTGCTCCTGCAGAGAACTGTTGAGGGGATCCGAGATGAGCGTCTCTCCTGGCTCCTATCCTCAGAGGAGCAGCAAATCATCCTTTTCATGGTGCCCCACATCTCATCATCTTTGTAAGAATAAATTATTGGATTCATGACAGAGTTCAACAGGGCCAGGAGAAGAAACCACCTTTTAACGTTCTGAATCCCACAGTCAGWACAGTTCAGACCATCAAGCAGTAAGACGACCAGGCCAGGGGTCCAGCAGACAACAAAGGCACCTAGAGATATGGGAGACAATAAAAAGAAAACCAAACCTGACTTCGAACTTCTAGGATTTTGGAGTGTTTAACATCTTACAATATTATTGAATTCATCAGAAATCTACACTGYAATTAAACTTGCAAACTTCTAAAAATTATAAAAGCAGGAGAGGACAAAATTTTAATGACAGTAGCAAAATTATATCTGCTACAAAGCAAGATAGCCCTGAGCAGGASGCAGGGCAGCTCTCAGATGACTGCAGGGAGCAAGGATCGGAGCTGCTGACAGCATCAACTCCAACACAAGTGGGAAAAGGTCATCACACAGTGATTTATCCATGCCGATAAATAAACAAGAGCTCTGGAACAAAAGCAGAGAACTGGCACTTGACAGCACACTTCCTCTGTTCATCTCTCCCGCGTACTGGAGGAGAACACATCAGGTGGTTCACTTCCACCACTGCTGTAACATGCCCTAAAATCTGCTGCCCCCCTACAGCTGACTCTGCAGTGTCAATTATTAAGACAGGCATCCCATAATTTAACCCTGTCCTGGGTGGGCACCCCACAGCTAGAGCAGGGAGCATGGCACTGCCTGCAGCCCTGTCAGCTCCTCAGTCAGAGCTGAAGCCACCTCCTTCCACTGCTCCCTCCCAGGCTCTGCATGCTGAGCCTTGAGACACAGCAACTCAGCTACAGGAAAAGAAATTGGTTACAGGAAAAGAGAGGAGGAAATAAACAGATGAAGGTGAGCCCAAGGATACAGCAGTCAGGGCAAAGACACAAAGGGGCGGTGGAAGAAACCAAAACCAAAAAGTATGAGGAAGTGTGTGCATAGTGGTGGGGGAAGAAAAGAGTCTGCAAGAGAGACAAAAAAAACATGAGAGGGAGAATAAGGGAGAAGAGACCTTAGACTGAGCACAACACAGAACAAACCACAGTTTGGAAGGATGTTCAGTATTGCATTTGCACCTTCCCATGTTCCTGCACAGCCACACCATAAGTGCAGGGGTGTGGGCAGGAGGGGTGAGGAGGGGAAACATCTCTACCAAATGCAGCCTTGGCCACAAATTGGAGAGGGGCCCTGGAGTGCCCCATGTGCCCCTTGGTCTCCCCCCTGCACTGCACCCTGTGATCCCTCATCCAGAGCCCAGGGAAGGAGTAGCCATATGCATGATAATACTAACTTAGCACAAGCCACAATTGCTGTCTGACATACAGAAATAGAAAATTACAACTCTGCCCAGCAGTCACAGTTTGAACAATGTACTGAGGAAATTCCAATAACTTGTCACAGCAGAGTTTCCCCATTTTGGAACTGAGAAGAAAATAATTCAACAAATAATAGCATTTACATTACTAAATATTCTCCTGGGGGTGTGGGTATCTGTTCAACGATTTTGGTAGAATAAGCAAGTCCACCTCATTCTTTAAAAGCTGCTGTTATTCCCATATCCGTGCTGTGGAAGGCAGCAGTGGGAGGGCAGCCTGGATCACACAGGACCCAGGCAGTGCCAGGGCCAGCTCAATGGCACCTCAGCCACCCCACCATGGGTGGGTGCCAGCAGCACTGACACTTCTCCCAACAGAGCTCTTGAATGGACTTTGCCCACAGGACAGGCAATGGTATGTTAAGTGAATTGCTGTGATTTAGCAAGCACTAGGATTGCTGAAAAACGTATCCAGGACAAGGTATTGTGCATTGGGCTGCAACTTCGTGCTCCCAGACTACAGACAAAATTCAACCAAYTGATTTACTCAGTTCTAGGCAATATTGAACAGAAAGAGACCACTTTGTTCAGAAGCTGAATTTTCTACTCTGCTGTAGCAAGACGTTTGTGATGCTAAGTACTAATTTCCTGGTGTTAGCTTTGAGACACTGGTTGCCATCAGGAACATTCCTCCATTGCCCACTGGCATCGCATTGGAGCAGCATGCTGCTCCCACAACACTTGTTTTCCCTGGTCAGTCTCTGTCCTACACACTGGTTTGGCTCCTGCATGCTCTSTGAGCAGAGCACCAGCTCTCTCTTATCATCTGCAATGGAGAAAACAGCATTGATTTGCTGTCCTGGGTGGCAAATCCCACCAGTTTTAACAAGTGCTGGAACCCACCCACCCAGACAATACTGTGCCTGGTTAAGTGTCTCAGCAAGTATTTGGACACAGAGATTTCACCCCCTACCAAGTGTCACTGGAAAAGCTGTCAACCCACCAGCTCCATGAAACTGAGACAGCAACAAACCTTCCTCATTTTGACCACTTGTACCACAAAGCGTGCAAGGTACAAAGCTTTTATGGAAGTCAGCAGGAGAGGAAAGAGACCCCAAAAGCTACATTTAACAAAAGGCACGGAAATCTCCCCTTCAAACACAACCTCAAGACTGCAAGCGGGATTAGTCCATGGGATCCTAGGATATATCTCTGTCTGCCTACACAAACAAAAGCCTAAAAATTTTCAGCTGCAAAAGTAAGGGAAGATAAAAGACACCTGCAGGAAAGTCTGCGCATTTCGCACAACGGGAAACAAGGACAGAGCAATGCAGCAACAGTGTCCAAGTTACTGGATAATGCTTTTGTGGGGCTGTCRCTTCGACTCCACCAAAAACACATTTTGCTCCTGGCACCACAGAGATGAAAGCGAGGCATGTCTCAGACTCACAGCCTTGCTTGGATTTTGTTATTTTTACCACCAAGCTTTCAGAGGGAACCATGGTTAAGCATAAAAATATACCTTAGTCTCMGCCCTTTTCAATTTTCTTGTTTGCAGAATATTTATCCCATAGGAGCTCCTCTCCCTGACAAAGTGCCACTCTCCAAAAATAATTTAACTTCTGGAAGTCCTTAAAATTCACAAAAGTGACATGAAATACAGCCTGGCTGCCACATAGGTTAGAAGAACAACTCTGAGTTTTCCACCAGATTATGGTAGATCAGGTGTCACAATGCCTCAAGGTTAGTTTGAGGATTTTCCATTACATTTAGCCAYGGAATTTCTTGTAGATTACATCATCTCTACTTAAAAACTAATTCCTGTGAAACTGGAGGAACTGATGCTTCAATAGCATAATTTCATAAAACCCTGCACATCAAGGCTGTCCCCAAGCATGCCAATGCTGAGAGAAAAAAAAAGAAGTGCAGTAGGTTCCAGCTGCCTTTGCCACATGTGKGACCAAGTTAAAACAGCAAGTTACCAATTAAACTATAAATTCACTGAAACTGAAAATCATCYACCCCAAAGCTGCTATTTCAGCAGGAATCTCACTGCCAGGTTCAAAGGAGCTACCACATACACAACCACCTGAAAATCACATACCCACACACCTGCAGCCACCCTCTTCAAAGCCACAGTCATAGACTGAGCTGGGATTAGGCCCCAATTTCAACCCAAGAGGATTTTAGTCCCTTTTGCTCTGTTTCACACCTTCCAGTTTCAGCTAGATAACCTGCTGTGGTCCAGCATGCCAAAGGGAAAGCCTTACTCCTCTGCTGTGATGGAGGATTTGATGCAGAGGACAGCCTTTGGAAGGAACTCTCCAATCCTAAGGGATGGTGCCAAAAGCCACCTGCAGCCGTGATCACCATCATCATAAGTCCACGAAACCACAATAAAATCTGAATTTCCCCARCTCTCAACTGTAGGGCCACAGGAGAACACCCAGAGAGGATAAGGATRTTTTGCTGGAAGGGCAGCCAGGAAGAAGCTGGGAGGAGCAGCATGGCAGCACTACCCAGCTACACACAGCCTCCTTCCACACAGCAGCATGGCAGAAGGATTTTGTCCTGAGCCTCTCATGAAACCAATAGAGCACATGAACAAGAATGCTGGGGCTTTTCATGCTTCATTCAGCACAGAATCTTGGAAAAGGCTTTTAGTTAAGAACATTTTGGGCATGTACTCCAAAGMATTTTCAGATATTTTGGAACAAAGCATTAAAAATAACTGCTTTGGGCAAAACCCACGTGCTGCATGTAGCTGTAGGCTCTTGCATCAGTGGTTGCAAGCAGAATTTTGGAAGACTKACTTTGGTTATTTGGTGACTCTTGTGGTAACTGGAAAAGTCCAGAAAACAAGCTGTTTGGTTCCTAATACATTTTGCACCGAGTGCAGGAGAGAACATTTGAAACTGTTTTAAAAAATAAAGTTCTCATTCTTAGAAATAAATGATTTTTAAAAAGCTTCTCAGAGTCCAAGAAGTGATATAAAGGAATATGCCAAGATTCATTTCCTCTGACCCAGGAGTCTGAAGTCTACTGTACACCCGGGAACATCAGCACTAATTCAACATCTCTGGAAGCAAGCTCTGTTTTGGTTTTGTTTCTGACTGAAAGCAGGCTCTCTTTTGGTTTTGTTTCTGACTGACAAAGTAAATATACAAAATTATGATCTCTAAAGTAGCACTCAGGCTTTCTAAGTTAAATTTGCCAGGCCCAGCACACAATATCATTAAAGGCTTTGCCTGAACTGTAGTTCAATTTCATGGCTGAAAAGCCATATTCTTTGAGTAAGAGGAAGCTAATGCTGAACTTCAAATAAAACCCATAGTCCTAATGGTTCCCAGTAAAAGAAAGCTTAATTTCAAAATGAGATTTTAAGTGGGATTTATTTTCACACAGCAGCGTGGTAACACCACAGACAAGGACCAGGAGGGATGAACAAAAGGCAGCCTCCATCCCTCTCCCTCCAATAACCACATCGGCTGCAGGGTGCAGCTCTGCCTGCACCAGAAAGGCAGAAAACTGCTTTTAAAAGTTCTCTTTCCAATGCAGCAGTTAGTGGGAGTCTGCTCGATCCTCCTGCCTCAAAGCAGTCTATCTCCAGTCCCACCTGGAACCCTGCTCACGTGGTACCTGCTTTCCAGGACACAACTTGCTCAGATTGAAGTTATTCCAGGGAAAAGTGGCTGCTACAGCTGGTGTTCGTTCCAAGGATCAGTCATCTGCTCTGTCCATCCCTAATTTAATGWGCAGCTACATCACAATTACCTGATGAAGTGATCTGAGCTGCTCAGGTATGAACAGTGTCTTGGAGCAGAATCCAGGTCAAATCTCATGCTGTGATTTAGAGATTTTGCACCACAATATCCACAGAATGAGGGGGAATCTTTCCCTTGAAAAGCAAACCTCTGTCAAGGCCACAGACCCACCAGACATTCTCTCCTTTCGCTAGAGAAGGTGCATTTCCAGGGGGAAGAAATTTCTRTGTTCAGGAAACAGCCAAGAGGAAGGTGTGCAAAGAACACTACTGACATCCAGCATTAGGGCTCATGGCCTTGTGCAAATATTAATGAACATTATTTTGAAAATATACTACTAGGTAGCTATAAACCTTCAGAAACCTTTCTTCAAAGTGATTTTGCATGTTCCCACTCAAAAAAAAAAAAAAAAAAAAAGCAAAACCCAAAACACCTTCACAATTTGTGTTTTGTAACAAGGTGCCTACACAATAGGGACACTTTCCTTCTGTGTGCTGACCAGTCCTCTATCTCACGTTTCTGCACAGTACAACAGCTATTTCACTGTCTAAATCACACAGATGTCTATATGCCTCCAGCACTTGTAAGTTCAGCGAGGATTTTTTGTGTTAGGAGGGTTGAGCTGTTTTTATGGGTTCTTTTGTTTGTTGGTTTGTTTTGAATAAAAACCAAACCAAATCAACACAAATCCAGCAGCGCTGCCAGCCTTGCCCACCATGGTTTGCAGGCTCTTACCTAAGACAGTCATGACAGTCTTCATAAGCTTCACTGGGGTTCTCCTCCGGCTGATGGAGCCACTTGTGTGCGAGGACAAGACATTGGTTTTCCTCTGCACGTACATGTAGATCCTTATGTAAACCACCACCATAATGAAGAACACGACCAGGTTTAAGACACTCCAGAACACCAGGTAACTTCTGCTGTAAATGGGTGCCAGGGATGAGCAGACGGTAATGTCACAGAGGCAGTTCCAACCCAGGGTAGGAACGGCACCCATGAAAATGGCAATGGCCCAAATGGATATGATTAGGAAGGTGACTCTCTTCTTGGTGAGGTTGCTGTGGATCTTCATCCGCATGATGGACATGTGGCGCTCCACAGCGATGACCAGGAGGTTCACCAGGGACGCCGTCAGGCTGGTGTCCAGGAGACCCTGGCGCAAAAACCAGCGGTTAACCGTCAATGTCTTGGACACGGGGCCCGTGTTGAACATCAGGAAGACATAGGCAATTCCAGCAAAAAAGTCTGCAGCAGCTAAGTTGGCCAGAAGATAGTAAAAGGGAAAATGAAACCTCTTGTTCTTGACCACAGCTGCTATGACCAATGAATTTGAAATGAAAATGAAGAGGCAGAAAAATGTCCCAAAGCACAGAACAACAATGAGCTGGGGCCCTGTCCACTCATCCGCTGTGTCTGTCTTCGTCTTGTTGTAGAAAAAGTCCATGCGCTTGTCATAGTAGCATTCGTTCATCCTGGATTAAAGCCCCTGCATCCTAGCAAGGGTGGAAGAGAAAAACAAAGAAGATTAACAATCACCTAATAATCCTTGCTTCAACCACCATACCTTCTTTTTTGGAGGGACAAAGGGTTGTTGCAAGGGCAGGAGAAGGTTGGAAGTCTTACATAAAAATTCAAAAATTATATACTTGAGGCCTTAAATAAACATTCAAACTGTACGGGGTTGATGCAGAAGATATTCTGGAGGACCATGGTGCATGATGCTTGGATGAATCAGGAATTTTAAAAATTTTTCCTACTTAAAAGACTCCAGCACAGTTCCTTTGCACTAGCAGTCATACTGTACAGGCAAGAAGGTGGAAGTTAAGAAGTTAAAAATGACTTTCTGGAGGTCATGGAGAAAATCTGAGCAACAGCCAAGCCATTCTTGCTGTGAAATCCCATGTTTGAGCCACAGCCCCATCATTATTTCCATTTCTCAGTGTAGCCAGTCAGGATAGGGAAGCATAAATCATAACTCTTCCATTTTACTGACTAAGCAATAAAAGGCCCATTATAGAAAAAAAAATTGTTTTTTTTTTCAATTATATAGTAATAAATGTAAAAAATGTATACATAGAAGATACTACAGGCACATATATTCTGAACACATACCTGTTATTTACTACTAGAGGRCTAAAGTAAATGTGCTGAAAAGAGAAAATTATATTTTAGATATTCGACTATTCTAAAGCCAGGAATTATTTTCTTGGGCTGTCAACCCACAGGCTTGTGAGCACCACACAGCCCAGTGATCTTTAAAACCAAAATCCAGTTCCCTACCCAACCACAAGTTAAAGTAAGCCCCAGAAACAGCAGTAGTGCTGGGGTTTATTTCTTATACCCCCTCAGCACTGTTTGGGACACAGGGCTATTAAACCTGATGATGGAAAGCGAGCCCAAGTTCCAGATTACATCACACTTCAGCTACTCTGGYGAGGTCAATGTCAGCTCCCTTGGCAATTTCACCACCTTTTCTATGAACCAAACTGAACCTGGACTAATCTACAGGAGATCTGACAGGTCTCACAACCCAGAAGGGAGAGTTTGTGTCTGATCATCACCAGCCTTCACATTCACTGTCTCTATCTGAAGAGGGCTTTTCACAATCACTTTCTCACATTACTGTATAGTTTTGGCAAAACCCAAGAACACAGCCATGGCACAGGACCCTAATCACGTTGGATATTATACAGAATAGCAACCAACAAAAAACCTGGAAGAAGTAACAGGCAGAAAGATTAACAAAAAGCATAGGTTTTCCACCTCTGCAACTAAAATTGCTGACAGATAAACATCAGGTTCACTTAGTCTATTATTACCCTGTGATTATTTTACAGTTATATCTCATCTCCCCAGGGACTGGGAAGCAAATTAAAACAATCCCCAGCAGGCTGGCTAACGTGCCACTTTTATATTAAAGGTTCCTTCCAAACTTCAAGCTAAAAAGGTTCATATTTTGTCATTTATGTTATGCTATTTGTGTTCTTTCATACGTTTATACTAATTTTAAATTAAATTACACTATTCCATAATTAATATTTCCAGCAGAGTAACCTTTTCTAATATCTCATTTTTCTGAACTACCTTCTTAGCTTTTTTTTCCTTGATTTTTCCTAATTCCCACCCAGCAGTCAACATGAAAGCAGGCCATTTGACATTGTTGTCCACTTCACTATCCTCAAAAACTCGGCCAGCCACTTTTTATGAAAGACTATTACTTTAAACATCAAATTTAAGCACATAGAACTAAGAACAGCTACTTAAGGACAAGAAGTGGAAGGAAACGAGTAAATCATCCCTTATGCTGAAATATTACAGAGCATCCCTCCATCTAAAAATAAAAAAGCCTCAGCAATGCGGATCCGCTGCGATGAGTCAACTGGAATTCAACGCCCACTGCTCCCTGTTCAGGGCAACATGGGGGAGTTGGGCAGYCAGCACATTCCCTGTTCTCACCTAGGAAGAACTCAAAAATCAAATTCAGTCTCATAATGACCAGAAGTCCCTGAGGAGCTGCAGACAACAGCTACTGGAGTAGCAGAGTGCTGGGAACCCTGCCAACCCTGAGAAGCCTCTGCTCTGACACACCAAGGCAGCAAAGGACTGAGCTTGACAYGAAGCTTTCACAGAACTGCCCAAATGCCTGCAAATAGAAGCAGCATTTTGGGCAAGAATGGCAGGGTAAAAAAGAAAATAAAAAACAAAACTGTGAAAATTATAGGGAAGGTTTACTGAACATGTTGTATCTTACTGTGTAATCATCTCAACAGATGAATCTTCCCTTGCAGTGACAGGAGAGTAAAGAAATCTGCAGATGCTTTTTGCATCTCATCTGCTGAAAATATTAAAGAAATCCAAAATATCAACTATGAACTTATTATAAATACTTCAGCTTAATGAGATCCCATCCTCATTTGAAGTAGCAACCAAAGGGAAAAAATATTCACACATCTGTAATTCTCCACTGACATCATTACACTACGAACACTTACTATCACACAGCAGAGCTCAAATGACAAATGATTTTGAAAGAGATGTCTTGAGGTGTTGATGTATGGTGAGGAGTAAAAAACATCCAGCTGAGGTCTCAGGGCCACAGGGCAGCCTCTGGAGATTTCCAAATGGAAGCTGCACCAAAGCAGAAGCTGAACCAGAGCTAGTTTACATCCCAGCACTCAAAGTGGAGATGCAGTCTGTACCAGCACCACACCAGGGGCCTTGCAGACAGTCGTTTTCTTCACACCTTCATCTGAAATCCTTCCAGCAGAATGAGCCTGGTCTCAGGGGAGCTGTGCAGCCCTGACAGAGCTGTGCAGCTGAATCCTCAGTGGTCCTGCCCCAGTCCACACCAGGCACGAGATAAAATAGCCCATAGTTCCCGGCATGTCACATGTCCTGGCAGAACCTTCTTCTCCAGGTCTTCTCTCCTGCAGCCAAATCAGAGATGCTTATCTTAATCAGGGCGGGTTTAAACTTAAGAAGAAAAAAATAACCTGTAAATATAACCCTTTATTAAAAAAAAAAAATCCTTAAATATTACATATTTCAGATCTGATTATTAAATACACAAGAATTTGAATATTCAAGCAAAATATTGTTCAAAGTTAGTAGAAAACCAGCTAAACTTGTAAGTCCAGACTTACAAAGAGAGTCTTCTAGAGGCTACAGCAGAGAGCTCCMCAGCTGTGCTACTCACTTCAGGAAGAGTCGCCTTATTTTGCTTTGAAATTGGCTCTCCCAAGCCTGACATTTCTTGGGGTTTTTTAATGGAAAGGACAGCAAACAATCCCTATTCTCTTGTTCTATGCCACTTGTTATTTCCTATYCCACCACACAGACCTGCAGCAGCTATCCCATGTTTCAGATTCCACAGGTGAGTTGAGCTAACGGTTGCCCTGTTACTTGAAGGCAAATACATCAAAACTTTGCAAGCGCCAAAAGCATACCCTTGTCTAAAGGGTTCTTCTCCTCATTTCAATCTATGTAATTGCCTCAGTTCAACCAACAGTGCCTATAAAGATCACAAAGTGGTGGCCTGTGAACTGCATTCTCCTCTACCACTCTTAAGTAAACATTCCAGCTTTTTTTTTTTTTGAGTGGGAAAAATCCTCTATTCCAAAAAACCTCAAAGGATTTGGGATTTCAGTTAAACTGTTTTCAAACACAAAAGCATGTTTTAAGAATTCTTTCCAATCAATCACATCTCAAACTTTGTTTGTCTTAATTACAGTTTGCATATTTTAATTGATTTTAAATRCCTCTATGAAAGTATAACTTGTATTAAGTCAGAATACATTCTTTGCCRTTCTTTAAATAAAAATCAAGAATCTGCATGAGTGTGTAGGAATATATTGCACTAGCTACCTAAATAAAGAGTTAATGAAATAAAACATCACCAGGATAATGTTTTGGACAAAAGATTCAGCTAGTTACAAGCTAGTATGTTTTAATGGTTGTTATTRGAATTGGAACCTTGTTTGCTTCAATAAATTTACTAAAAATCTGTACATTTATAATTAGTTTAATATCAGTTATTTAAATCAAGGATTTTACTGATTGAAACTGTGATTAAAATTATCTTTTAAGTAATTTTGATTAAAAATTAAATCTGGCCTATAGATCAGCTCTAAGCTAAGTAACTCATTATTAATGCAGATATTTCTGAAGTAAAACACAAAGAGTATTTCAATGATAAAGTCATTATAAAATCTAGCCTGCTAGCCATAATGTGATGCATGGCACATCCCCATGATTTTCTGTCTCTTCTCTGTCCATTAAAAACCAAGATGTTTCAATAGAGTGCCCACAACTTTATTGAAGGGCTGGCATCAGTTTGGGGGACAYTGATGGCTTCTGCCCTGTTTCTGGATCAATGCAAGAGGGAGGGAGCAGACAGGCCAGGGCTGGCACAGCAAACTGCTGTCAGAGGATTCAAGCCAACTTTAGAGCTGGACTGAAATGCCCTCCTCGTAAGCTGTCTTGCTCTCTGGACAAGAGTGGTGAAACCCTTCAGCAGGGCTGCAAGTCAGCTCAGGGGAGAGGAAGAGATGTTTGCCCAGGCACAACAGCAGCCTGGCTGACTGCAGGCTTCCCTGAGCTGGTGCAGGAATTTCTGTGCAGAATTTCGGAGCATTTCAACATCCAAAATGATAGAGTCTGGAACAGGAGAGATCMCAAAGCCAGTACAGTCCGGGCAGGTCCGTGGGACGGCGCAGAGGAGCAAGCTGTGCCCAGGCTCAGCCTGCAAAGCAGGCAAGGTGCCAGCTCTGCCCCAGCACTTTGCTAATGGAGAAGAGGAACGGGGGAGGCAAAGACCAGGTATTAAATACAAATCTCCAAGAGCTTTTGGAACATATTACGAAAGTTGCTCTGCAGAAAGCTGAGTTTATCACTCTCATCCCAGGCAGAGGTGGCAGAAGAGGGAGCACAGTCGCTTGAAATATTCTCTTCACATTCAGACAGTCACTGCAAATAAACACCAGCAGCAATTGCCAGCTAGCACACAGCACTTCAGCTTTTTTAATTTACCTACAAGCAGCAGATTGCCCTTGATAGAGCACCACCAAAGCAGTGTCTGGAGGCTTGCAGTCTGCACAGCCCCTGTCCAGGGCTGCCCCCCGCACCCCGTGCCACAGGCAGACACACACACCCTCTGTCCCATCCTCTCCTTCTGGATAAACCACCAGGGCTGCTTTTACGTTCTCATTACTGAAAAGCTATCTCTCACCTTATTCCCAAGAGGAAGGCACAGGCAGAAGAAAGCCAGGGTGCTGGGCAGCCTGGTTCTGAGAGGGAATTGGCTCCTTGTTCCCCTCCACACCCTGCTACATGTATGGCCACAGAGGAAAACACAACCAAATGACTGCACCGTAACCCAAGAAACCCATTCAGGTTACCTCAGCTTAGAAAGAAATACCAGGGCAGAAAAGGGYGTGTAACACAGCCGAGGCCAAAAATGTTAATATGTAACTGTAAGAAAGAGTTTTGTGAGGTAAGGGCTCTGGTTCACTTTTGGTTGTCTTTAATAGTTAATTGGTATTACAACCAAAAATCAATTTAGAGAAACAAACTGAAAGGAAGCGCACATACAAAACACAAAATTAYACACAAATATATCTAAACTAAAGCTTTTTTAAAATCTGGTACTGTTAGAGGTTGTAATGGAAGCCAACATTCATTTAACAGCTTTTACAGAGACAAATTATCTCAGAAATGTAACTGTTTCACATTTTGTTTATTACAGAAATTCTGCAGGCACTGCCTGTACTTGAAACAGCATGGTACACGGTACACTTCAAGGACCTGAGAATTTAATTTTTAAAAAACATTTTTAAAATGGAGCTTTAAAAATTGAAAAAAAAGTTACACTATGAGGCCAAATTAATAAGTTTTTCAAACAGAGATCTYACTTCTTAGTAAGGGAATCTACTTACAGTTGTGCTTGGCTCTATTTTTTTTCTTTAACTGAAGTAGCCCCAAWTTCTGATATTGGCCAAAATCAAATCAAGCATTCCCAAGCAGCATTATCCCATTAGCTTGGTCTTCAATACCTTTTAGACTAAGGAGAGCAAAGTGCCACATCCACTTTTCCTCCAAGCCTGCTTCAGCTACATAATGTTAACTTGATGGAAAATACAGCAGTTCTCATATTTCCACCATTGTTCTGGATATTTCCAGTGATAGCCCATTTCTATGCTGTCATCTTTTGGACTGGGAAGGGAGTGGGGCAAAGGGAATGAAGATGATTCTTTGGCAACTTAGATATCAGTGGTGGAAGCAGCATTTAAGGTTTTTATTTATCATATATCCTGCATAAAACACCAATGCCATATGGTACAAAGAAAGAGTCTCCAGAAAATTATTAAACCTACCAAAATGTAGAACATCAAGACTAAATATTTAAAATTGCAGAGAGAGGAAGTAGTACCACCAGCCACAGACAGTGCTCTATACACACAGCCTGATAAGAGGCTCAAAAATCACTGTCAGGGCACACAAGTGTCACCCTGTGCATGTATGTGACAGTGCTGTTCCCCCTGCAAACTGCTGCAGACTGACACTGATAGCTGAACTGTGAAACAGAGGTACAGGGGCACCTCCTCCAAGGTATTACAAAGTACAGGCTCCTGAAATCACTTTAGGACAAAGCTGCTCGACTGCACTACATTGCTTCTGAAAGCTCTGATACATTGCACAAAGTTGTTAGGGACAGATAGCAAGTAACTCACTAGTTACCACAAGTTTAGACTTCAGACTTTGGTAATTTAAGACTTTCTGAAATTATGGTTTACTAGATCTATATATGGAGTTCAAACTAAAAAGTTTGCTGCAAAGCCTTCATTTAGTCTCCTTTAAGTGTGGTTCTGGCAGGAGCTGGCAGGTCATCCTATAATGCGGAAACAGACACAGCATTTAAAGTATTTAAAAGTCATTCAAAAAGCCTATACATTGTGAAACATGCCTAAAAGAAAATACTTGTTCTGCTTCTAAAGTAATTTTCCCATTTCTGCAGAACTTCCAGGTCCACTCATTGATCACTCCCAGCTCCACTCATTGATCACTCCCAGCTCCATTTTATCATTGAACAATCACAATCCTTTCACAACACCTAGAGAATGTGGATACAGACTATTTCAGCACAGTCTGAAACAAGACAGCTTTTACTGTTTATTTTCAGCATATACTGATAAGGACCTAAATCTCACCACTACTAATTGATACAAGTCACCTGACTGTATCTGATCTGTTAACAGATTCAGAGCCTGGGTTTACAAGCAAGTATATCCTTTGTGTGTAATTTTTACCGTGRAACTGGTAAAAATGGCACATTACAAAATGTATTAGCTCAAGGCACAGGAATCAACTTAATGGCACAATAGTAGAATTCAAGTATGTCAGCCTTTAAGACCAATATTCAAGATAAATATATTCTCTACAGTATAAAATCTTACACTTCAGAGATCTTACTTCATTATCTGATAGCACAAAGCCTGTGCTGGAAGCCATTCCAAAATGGTTAATGAACRGTCAGTGTAGCACAAGAGGATAAGGACACAGCCAGTCTCACTCTTCTGAAACTTCCACCCAGTATTCTGAAAAAAGCTAAATACCAGCATGTAAAGCTGAGAGATGTAAGAGCTGTTGCTTATTTACAGATTGCACAAATTTCTTTTGTGAGGTTGTTTGATTTTAGTTTAATTTCAGCACACGGATAAGCTTAGTGAAATCAGATTTTTCACCATATAACTGGATTTGAGTTGTGCTTCCTACTGCAACTTTTAGAAGACCGTAAGAACATACAATAAATCACACACTCAGCAAAGCTTAAAGAACAAAGCGACAGCAATGCACCTTGCCAGYCTGTAACAAGAAATGTCTTTTTCTAGACTCATATCACAGATGGGAGAGCAGACCTAAGTACATGGCCTCTGGAAACACAAGGGTACAAAACTGCTTCCTCTCCCTCTCCCCTCCCCCTCCAACTTTCTTTCCTTAAGGGAAAGAATTTATCAAAATATATAATGCAAAATAATAGCAGTGTATTCTTGCGCTRTATTGCATAGATTGAGATAACTATTGAGATAACCCTACTAAAAAAGCCCCCTTCACAGAAGCCCCTTTGCCAGCGGCCGCGRTCCGTCCCAGCTGCCCGCGCCTCAGCAGGGCACGGCACCCGCGCTGTGCGAGCGGAGCCTCAAACGGATGCGAACTCACGTGGATGTTTTTGTTCGAGCGTGTCCGTGGCTGCACACCCGCGATGTCTCCGGGACAGAGCAGCAGCACCGGCTGTGTCCCGGCTCTGTCCCGGCTGTGTCCCGGCGGGCTCGGGCTGCGCTCCGGCCGCTGCCCGCTCCGCTCACCGGCACGGCCCGGGGCGTGCCCGGCGCTCCGGCACCACCGCCAAGAGTTGTACAGAACCGCAAAGAGTTTTGCCTGCCCGACTGCGGGGGGAAAGGCTCATTCCTCCCGGAGCTCGCCCAGCCCCGATAACAGTGCTCCCTCCTCTGCCCCCTTGACCGAGCCGCCGCCGCCCCAGGAGCGCCCCRGCCCCGCTGTCGCTGTCGGGGGCTCAGCCTGCCCGGCCCGGCCC